ACAATAATCATATCAGTGTTGTTTGTATTTCAAAATACTTCTTTGCAGATCTCGTAGTGTTGGCAACGACAATCATTTCTCACTTTGCTTATCACCGTCTAAGCAAAGTCTCGGCAATATGTCGTCAACTCGATGCAGTAATCACTCAGGTGGCAATATCGGTAGCAGTAACGGCACTCATCGTGGTTATGGTACCAATGGTAGCAGTGGTGGATTGTTAAATCCATTTAAAGCAACGAAAAAATTTTTCAGAAAGTTAGTTGAAACGTAATTTAAAAATTTTAAAGTGTTAATATTTTCTTTATTATTGTTTTATATTAAAAAACAGAAAACAAAAAAGAAAAACAAAAAAACGTCAAATTATTTGAAATAGCAAAAAGAAGAATAATTGAATAATCGATAAGTAATAATGGAAAATTTTGAATTTTTCATTTATTTAAAATTTTGATTAGCTGTGTACTGAAATTACAATCGATATCAAAGATTTGATTAATGACTGATAATATTTTTAGGATATATGATACGGCAACGTTGCCCAGCCGATTACATTCAAAAATATTAGCTTCAAGTGTAATAGAGAAAAATGAAATTCCAACAACATCAGTATCATCACAATATTCATTTCTTGACGCTAGTTATTCATTAGAAATACCAGATGATGAGCCATCTTATCAGTATGATAATGATATTACTAATCAAGGTAAGGTCTTTTATTTGCCCCGCTTTAAATTAAAAGAAATTAATGGAAAAAATGAAAGAGAGAAATAAGCAAAGAAAGATAATATATATATGAAAAAAAATATATGAAAAAAAAATTTTTTTTCATAAACAATTGAAAAATATTAAAATTCAAGTCAAATTTTAAATTGAAAATGAAATACAAAATGTTTATTAATAACAGAAGCACGAAATATCATTGTATTTGTAAATGTTATTATTCTAAAAAAAAAAAAAAAGAAATGGAGGAAAGAAAGGACTCACATTTATATTTTGTTATTTATTTTTACAGTTTTGACAATTATTGAATTATAAATGAAGAAAAGAAATTGTTTCATTTTCAGGAACATAAAGTAATCTTTGATCTTACAAATTTTTCTTTCATTTTCAATCTTTTTAAGCTTTCTGCTTTTTTTGCACTTTTCTTTTCTTCTTTTTCTTTGTAATGCATTCATTGAGAAATTACGAGAGTCAAGGTAATAAAATTAAAATTATAAAGAAATGATAATTTATGATAAATTAAATGTATTTTAGATGCGACAAATTGTTCCACTACTGTCAATCATGATTCTGATTTAGCGCCATCGGCTCTGAAACCATTTATCATAACTGATGATACAATGAATGATTCGGGTTTGTCACGCTCAATAAGTTCCAATGACTCACAAAAGACTTCTTTTGGTGATTTTCGGTCTTGGAATGAAGTGTTTAATCATCTCAAACGTGAAATGGTAATTGTCTTTTTATAATAATTAAACTATTTAAGCTAATATTTCAGTTATTTCAATTAAAAATTATTGGAATCATTGTTAATTAATTTCTCAACAGTAATAATTATTTCTTTAAAAAAAAGATAAAATTAAAGAACTGTTTTGGAAAAGAATTCAATATTCTATGCAATTTAATTATTCAAATATTTTAGTATATTTGTTTTTTTATTTCACATCTCTTGTATTTCTTTATTTCATTCTTTTCTTTCCCTCTGTGTCAAAGTATTATTCATTCATTTTAGGCTTATATGCGACAACGTGATGCGCAAATTTTTGCCGACTTACAATTTGTGGAACATCAATTACGAAATGTGAAAAATCAAGCTATGGCAAAATCCGATTATATTATGAGCAACAATAATAATAATAATAGTTATAGCATAAATATTAATAATGGTAATAATGATGGTTATATTTTAAATAAACGACAAATTAAATTAGGCGATTTAGTTGAAAGTATGCCGTTATGATAGAATAAAATTTCATATTTGTTTTTTTAAAAAAACAAAAAACAAAATAATAATATCAAAGTTTTCTTAACTGTTCCATTTTCTAATTCTATTTCATATCATTCTAGTCCCAATTTTTATTTCATAGGGAAATTTCTCATTTGTTTTTGCTCAATTTTGTTTAAAATTTAAACTTTCGTCGAAGAAAAAAAAAACTGGAAAGAATGAAAGAAGAATTACTAATAGCTAAAATTACAGCAGATGAAATTTAACACTACTCTAAACGTCAGTTTTATTTGCTTTTGGTCATTTTCAAAAATTTTCCCTTTATCTTTACTAAAAAAAAAAAAAAAAAACTATTACAATTATAATTTTTTCATCGATAAAATTGATATGAAAATGTTAGGAAAAGAAGTTTAAGTTTATTGTGATAAATGATATGAAATTAACGAAGGAATATAGTATAAGTGATAAAATCCTTACAAATTTTCCAAAGGGATGAAAAAAAGAACTTAGATTTTTTTTTTCTTTTTCTTTCTATCAATTTGCTTCAGCATTAGCATTTTCATTTTCATTTTCAAAACTTGACACTTTATTAGTTAATATCTAATTAATTGCAAAAATATTTGTCATGATAAACAAAATTATTGTTTACTTTATTATATCAAGATAACTATGAAATGATTATTAGTTGAAACGTTGTTTTTTTATTTAATTGTCATCGATGTAAATATCAATGACATGCATCTATCTATCTATCTATCTATCATCTCTTGTATTATTGAGATTCATATCAATGAAATATCTTCGCTTAAATTACTCAAATCGCGATGTAAATCAAGCAATTTAAAACGCTTTTTTTGCAAAATAGTTAAATGAATTTATTATCAATTCTTAAAAACAATAATAAATAATTTTCATTCTTAGCATTTTTCTTCTCCTTTTCAGAACTTGAAACTTTATTGTTTGATAACTAATTGCAAGGATATTTGCAATCAATTAATTAAAGATAAACAAAAATATTGTCAAAAAAAATTTTCAACTAAAAATTTAAAGTTAAGAAGTGAGAGAATATTATCTTGTCAATCTACTCTGAAAATGATCCACTTAACATTGTCATCTGCTTCTCTTGCTACAAATGTGTAGGACGACTAGCAGCGCGTCTTGCTGATAAACAGCTGATGATGCTGCATCATTGCAACGCTAGATAGTATCTGCAATGTGAACATTGACGAAAGTGTTTGAGTTATAATCTGAAGCGTATAATGCCAATTATGGGTAAGGTACCAGCCAGGTTTTGGTTTAAATATGAAATGGTCGGGTAAAGTGTGTACTTGCAATTCTTTGCTCTTTAATAAAAGATCATATTACTCAATTATGGAAATATCTTTCATATTTAAATTCTTTTCAGCAAAATTTCTTGCTTTTTTATTTTCATTTTTTTATGTGTGTTTTAAATTTTGTTCATTTTATAATTGAACAACAAATGATAAATAAAATGAAATAAGGCAAAAATTTGAAATTCATTTTAAAGTGGTTTTAAATTATTCAATTCATAAAAAATGGAACTGAATTAATTTGTTCCTCTTTCGCTTTTTTTTTTTTTTTGAGTAATAAGGTTGGAGAAAAAGATTAAAAAATAATATATGATGTATAATTTACAATAGCACACATATTAACGTAACTATAAATTTTGAAAACAATATTGAATTCTTGCTTTTAAATTATTTACAAATAGAATCAAATTTCAAAACTAACAAGAAAACTAACTAAAGCCTTCAGTGACAAATAGAAAAATTTTTAGTTTGTATGATAGTTTGTGAATTTTTTTTCTTTTTTTGTTATGCTAATGAATGGTAATGATCACAACTTCTTTGTGATATATTTTTTAATATTTTTCTTCTAATTATTTATTTATAACTGATATTTATATGAATATTTCAATTAAATTACTAGTAAAAAAATTGATGTATATACTTTATATATTGAATAATCGAAGAATGTAATGATTTAGCTAAGAAACAGTATTATTTGGGTATTTATTTAATTGTTGATTATGAATCAGCAAACTAATTTTAGTAAAAATTATAATTTATGTTTTGTTTGTTTATATATTTTTCAATTCGTTTGTTTTCTGATTTGCTTTTAATTCTTGAATATTTCATTTGTCCAATTTTTGTGTTGCTTAGAAAAAAAGAGAAAAATTAATATTTATGTTTTGATTTACCATTTGCGCATTTGTTATTCCATTTCATTGTTGAAAATAGCACAGATGCCTGAAATACATCAATCACCCAATTTTATTTGTTCAAAGTTCTTTTCTTTTTCGTAAGAAAGAAAAAAAAAGTAATCTGAACATGAAATTTTGTTGTTTCAATTTAGAGATAGAACTGCAAAAGCATAATTAAAATTAAATCAAAAAATTTGTGCATTAAGAAATTCAGGTTTTTCCTTTTAAAATTATTTGCAAAAAAAAAGAGAAAAAATGATACATATACACATAACTGTATTGCTTCATAAGAAATTAGGAGATCTGAATCTTTTTTAATCAGAATAAAATCTTAGAAGAAAAAATAAATAAAATACGACAGAAGATGACAATAAGAGCATAATGGAAAGAAATAAATTACATAATAATAATTAAATCAAATGCTTTTAAGATATTCTTCTTTTCAAAAAAGAAAAAAAACAAATCTTCAAAATTTTTTTAAAATATTAAGACTTAAATATTTATTTTAGCAATTCAATTCATATTTCTTTTAATAACAATTCTCTCTATGATAATAAATAATGTATAATCAAAAATATTTCTTGTTTTTTCCTATCTTAAAACAAGTTAAATCATTTTAAATTTAGCAATTTAAATCAATCGAGTTTTAAAATTAATTACACAAATGCTTAATGTTTCAGTATTTGTATTCTTAAAACATTCATGTTAGCTCTATTTCAAATAAACATCAAATCCTTATTCCACAATTTTATTTTTTATACAATCATTTGTAACAGCCTTAAATGTCCTTATAAAAAAAGCAAAAGAAAAAACACTAAGCAATTATATATTAATTTATAAAAATAATGCACTAGCAATCCAAAAAAGGAATACAATTAGCATAAGTAAGATGAAACTGATACCATTTAACAGAACAAAATTTAAATGTTTCTTTTCGGATGATATTGTTGAAATTACAATTTTGTTATCATTTTCATTTTTTCGATTGTTATTATTGTTGGCTATTTGATAATAACGTATCACGTCATTAAGATCATGATTTTGAATTGGCTTATAGCCGAGATCATGTTGAGCTTGTCTAATAGAATAAGTATTGGTAATTGATACAAGATTCACTTCAAGTCTGGTAAATAATGGTTCTAGACCAAAATAGCGATAGAGGTATTCGAATAATATAGCCAAGCATATCACTAATGTATATGGTATTTTGAACATGGGAAGTGGTTTGTTAAATGCTAAAATTGATAATTTTTATACAAGTGATAAATAAATAAGGAAACTTTAAACGCATACTTATTTTTTTCGTTTATCAATGTTATAGCCTTTATTGAACCCAATTTTAAATATAAGTTTTAGATAGAAATCTTTTGTTGAATCAGTGAAAAAAATTTGAGAAAACAATCGATGTTAAAAAGTGTTTACCTCTAATAAGTGGGAACCAAAAACTAAATGATCCAACAGGTGGACCACCATCAACAATGTTATACACTTTGCCACATGCAATACCTCTTCGTAAGGCATCTTCAGCTAATCTCATAGCCTGAAATGCATGTTTTAACCAATAATTATTTAAGAAAGTATCTGATAATTACGAAAAAATGCTTAATGGTGAAACAGACATAACGGTGAAGACAGAAGCATAACGATAGATAGATAAATATTTGATTTTGATTCGATTTAACTCTAATTAAGTGATTAAAATTATATTCTTACTCTAGTACTATTTCCAATTCCACTATACTGAGTGGTAGTTTCGTGGAATTTAGGAAAAGTTGCAATGAGTAAACCACGTTTGCACATGTCCTAAAAAAAAGAACTTTAAGATATTTGAAAATTTGAAATTTTAAACAAATTCCTTATTTTAAATATAAACAAATTAATGCAGTAAAATGGTTAAGAATAAACTAAATGTAAATTATCATCCTTGCTATTTTAACACATGTAATTAAATTTACAAAAAAGAATTGAAATAATTTAAGGTGACTAAAAAGTATAGTAGCTTACCACTGTTCTTTTTACGGTTCGTGGTTCTGCCGGACCGTATATTCCACGGTATCGGAGAGCACACGTTTTTAATGTGTCGCAGTTACTATTTACTACAAATTTCTCAGCTACTGCTTTAGATGCTGCATAGTATGAATAATACTGCAATAGTTGAAATTAATTTCAAAATGATTAACTTTTCGTCGCTTATAAATAATTAAAAGTTAATTTATAAATCTTACATTAAAATTCTTCTTTCCGTGACCTTTAAAAAAAAATCGTTTTTTTTTTTTTTTTTTTTTTTTTTAGAGAATACCCATAAAATTACAGTTATTGCTTTTTTTCCTTCGAAATGTCTGCCATTTTGAATTGAAATCAAAAGTACATTAAACTATTTATAATTTTGAATAGCAGGATGAAATTTGAAAGATAATTAAATTAAGATTAACTTATCTACAACATACATCTATCCCATATGAAATAATTTTGTATCCCTTTTAAGTTTTAAGAATTTGAATAGAATAAGTTCATTTTATATCAAAAATCTTCAACAATTCATTACATAAAGATATAAAATTCCATATTTTTTATAATTTAAATCAACTATAAACAAAGATGAATTTAACCTTGGATGGATGTGGATATGGAGTTAATTCATCAGCGTCATGTAGTTCCTCATCGGTAAAAATGACAGCTACAGAACTTGCAAAAATAAACCTTTTTACACCATTAATGCGACAATGTTCTAATACTTGTTTAGTGCCAGTAACATTAATTAAGTATATCATTTCTTTATCCAACTTAAATTTCATTCTATTACAAATATAAATTTCATCAATATACGTTTTCAATTTAATTTCACTCGTTTTTTTTTAATAAAAAATATTTCAAAATAATAATAAATGTTTAATTTAACTTTAAAGCAATGAAAATTTTCAATTTTATTTAAAAAGTTTAAAGCAACGAAATCCAAAATTTTTTTTTAAACAATATATATACTGTAATAGAATTTATTAAAAATCACATAGCAAGATTTTTTTAGGATTAAAACTAAATTATGTGAATTTTAGCAATATCAAAGTAATATTTATTAATATTGTATAAATGATAAGCAAACTTTTTCTTTTATAATTATCACGCAGTGAATAAAGAGAGAAGAAAATATATCACGCAGTGAATAAAGAGGTATTACTTACGGAAGCACCACCACTCATACCATAAGCAGCAATATGAAAGCATGCAACACAACCACGTAACGCTTGATCCAATACATTTGCATCCAATAATGAACCCTGTAAAAAATTAAAATCATCAAAAAGTATACTTTTATTTTACTAATCCTCAAAAAAAAAATTTTCTTTTTTATAAGATTTTAAAAGTTTAATTAATTTTTACCATATATTATATTAATTGTATGCATAATCTTGTTTAAAAAATTGTATATTTTAATTTAATTTTTGAGCATTTTGAAATTTTTAACATGTAAAGGTTTAAAAAAAAACTAACGAATATTTTATTTCTATGGAGAAAATATAAATTTTTTTTATAATTTTAAAAATAGAATTCTTTGAAATACAAACTTTTATTCGAGTTGTAAGTGATTCATTTAGTTTCACCACTGGTATATCACAAAAATTAATGTCCAATATTACAGTATGAAAGCTTTGTTCCTGTAATTCTCGAGCAATATGCTGTCCAAAATATCCACCACCACCAACAATACACACACGATGATATTCCATTCTTCTGAAACTTTCAATTAGAAGAAGATGAACACGCAAATGAATTAAACGATCACGTACGTTAAAATAGATTTATCACAAAAAATAAATTTCCTTTACATTTCTAAGAGAAGAAAAAAATATTATGGAAAAAATTAGCTCATATTTTAATATTTGTGAAAAAATAGTGTGTTAAAAGAATTGTGAAAGAATGTATGAATGCAAATAATGTTTGTATGTAACAGTTTGAGAGGAAAGATGTAACGGGCAGTTAATTAGGTAATGCAAATGAAATAATGGTTATATTAGAAAGAGTATTGTAGGTTTCAATATTAATCGTAAAGAATTATGAAGTATAAACACTGAAAGCATTTTAAAAAAAATTAATAATGCGTTGATTTCATTATACCGTAGAATTTATCGGATGAATTTATAAGATTAGTATTTCTCTTTAATATTACTAGAAACAAATGTAACATTATTTCTCAATTGTGTTATATTTTGATTTCATTAAAGGAATATGAATTTTAATTTCATTCATTAATTAATATTACATACAAAAAAGAGAGTCTGACAAATTTTTGTTTTGTTAAATTTGATTATCAGAAAAGACAAAAACTTACCAGCCCTCTTCATCTATTCTTAGCTCCTATTTTTTTTTTTTTTTTTTTTGAGAAAGTGATTAAAATATAATAAGTTGTGAAATACAAATAGAAACATTCGATTTCATTTCTTCAAGAAATAAAAAAAAATAATAATTCCATATATAAACGAAAATTTTATTTTCTTGTACTAAAAATGTAATTTTGATTAAACAAATGATATTTTAGGCAAAAAATGTTGTAACCAAAATTAAATAGAATGAGTTAAAAAAAAAGTATGTCATCTCCTTTCTGATATCTCAAAATGATAGTGGAAAAAAAAGAAAGAGAAGGATAGAAAAAAAAAAAAAAAAAAACAGAAAAGTTATTCTTTTTTATATTTTTTAGATTCCTTTTTCTTCCTCCTATTTTTTTTCCTATTATGATTTTGCGAAATTTTTATGTATTAAATGAACAGCGCATTTTGTCAATATTTTGTCAACAAATTATTGAAAATACATTTTACTGTCAACCAAAACAAGTTATAACATAAACGAAAAATTTTAGTTCCTTTTTTTCTATCAATTAACATAAAAAAATGTTGCCATATAACTAAAATCTTTTTTATTACAAAATATTATTCATACAAGGAAGGAAATTTTCTTTTATTTTGTAAAACTAAGAGAGGAAGAACGAAAAAAAAAAACGAATCAAAGTTTGCATAATTCTAATTAAATTGTTGAAAACAATAAATATTTTCTACCTATTTTAGTATATTGAAATTAACAGTGACTATTAATTAGTAGAAACTATTGGAAACTTGAATTGATTAAGTTTTCACAGCATGATTCTTGGCTAATTCTAACACTTGGCTAATCGCGATCTTAGATTTTTTTTTCTATTTATTGTCCATGTAAAATGATCAGTTCTCACAGATGATTATGTTAACTGAACTGATAACAAGAGAAAGTAAGCAAATGATAGTTTGAAATTGTGTAAATTTATTAATTTAATAATCAGAAAATAAAATTGATACAAAAAAAGATTTGAATAGGAGCAAATTTTTAAAGGGTACTTTGAGATATTCCAAATAACGCTATAAAATTAAAAACATTTTATAACGTAATACTTTGCAATTTTTTTTTCTTTCCCATCATAATTAATTCAAAAAAAAAGAAAAATTACTATTTTGAAGGGTTAATTTTTTATAAAAAAACTGAATGCATAAATAAATTTATCAAACGCTAAGAAAACAATGAAAGATGTAAGAAAAATATTATTAATTAAAATTAAAATGAAAAATACTATTAAAATTCAATATTAAAAAAAAAATACATTGATAGTTTAAACTTTCTTCACATAACCAAACCATGTTATAATAAGTACAAATGAAAATTTTGAAAATTGAACTGCTGAAGATTTGAAATCAATAAATTGATAGGTCAGCAAAAGGAGCACAGCACCATGACAGGTTAGTATAAATGGTTGGTTTCTGGGCAAAAGGCAAAAAGACGAGAAGAACGGGGGAAGCGGATGAATGCGAGTATTGTGCCGTTGACTTCTGTCAAATATCAATGCACGATGACCCCAACATATAATGTATATTTGATAGTATTGCCAATATCTGCAATGAATAATAATCTTTTTTTTATTTTAAATTTTATGAAATGCAGGTTATTAGATAAAGATGAAAAAATAATTGTAATAAAAACAAAAAAGAAAAAAAAAAAAACATGCAGAAAAATCTTTTCATTTGTTTATAAATTTTCTTTTTAAATAATTTTTTTCATTCTTTTTTTACAAAATAACTTCAAAAGATTTAAAACAATTATTGGAAAATTTTAATAATAAAGCAGCAAGTAAATTAATGTATTATAATTTATTATTTCTTATAATAATATGAAATAAAAAAATATTTTTGTTGAAAAATTACATTTTAAAAAAATTTTGCATATGAAATTTTGTATTAAATTTTGTGTATATACGAAATGTTATTTAAATCTGTCAAGTGATCAAAAGTCATATTCAAAGAGAAAGACTAAAATATTGAATTTTACCGTTATCACTTCTTAATTCTTCTTTCTACGTGGTAACGTATTTCTATCAATTATCAGTTCTTTTTCATTATGGCAATTATTTCTTCACCTAGAAATTTGCATCAAATTTTTTTAAAACTAATTTGATCTCACTCGTTTATTGATTATTTTTTAGACGAATAGAAAATATTTTTTTGTGTATTATTAATTTTAATAGAATGTAAAATATAACAATCAAAAAAATTAAACTTAATATAAAGAAAGAAACAAGTATTAAAATTAGAATTAATATAAAAAGTGGAAAAAAAAGACATTAACAATTGAAGTTAATACAGAGAAAAGTGGAAACACTAAAACTAATGTTAATAAAGAAAGAAAAATCATTTGATTAATATGAAAAAAAAAAGAAAAAGTTTATACAAAAAAAAAAGGAACAAAAATAAAAAAATAAATTCAGTGTTAAAAAACAAAATGAAGGAAATAAAAAAGAACTAAATTAGATTAATAAATTTTATTCAACTTTCGACTGCTATTTCGTTATCTAATATTATTTAATATGCCATCAATAAAAGAAAAATTCATTTATTCATTTAATTTGTCATAATTCAGAAAATTTTCAATTTGATTTTAAATCTTTTATTTAATTCAAAAATCTGAAAGAGCGAAAAAAAAAGAAAATTCTGCAGAAAAGATTTTTTTTTCAATAACTTTAATCGAAAATATATTTAAAACGAAACTTCATTTAATATGAATCATTTCAAAAATTATTTAAAGCATTTCTAACTTTACATTAGTTTAATGAATAAGATAATATTACCAACAATTTCCGTTCCTCAATAAACATATTGTAAAAGTCATAAATTTCTACAATGTATTTAAACTGAAATTAAATAATTAAAGTAAATTATTAATCAGCAAAAATTAATATTACAGTTATTTTGCCAACGAAGCTTTATAATGAAGCAATTAAATCATCGATGAAAATTGGAATAATTTTTTTTTCCGTTCTTTCATCAATTTAAATGCAATCAATCATCTCTTTTAACACTTATTCCGCAATTATATTATTATATTGGATATTATATCCACTTTTTCCCAAAATTTTTTTTCTTCCTTTTTTCTTATTTCACTAATTATTTTAATATTATTTATAAAATCATATTATTTTGTCGTATTTGCAATAAAATTTACTCATTAATTTAAAATTCTTTGTCAAAAGAAAAGAGCAAATAAATTGAAGAGATAAAAAATAATCAAATATTATCACTTTTTTCCTCTCTCAACTTCTTTGTTTTATTCCTCTAAGAGTGAAAATAAGACGAATGACAAATGAATGAATGACTTTAATTTGATGACAAAAATTTGCTATAAATTATAGATCAAACATCACAATTCGGCGATTCGTTTTTTTTTTTTTTTAAACTGTTTTTTGGGGAAACAATGCCTTTAGATATGGAAAAATAAATAAATAGCAATATTTGATGCTAACAATGATGCTATAAATTAGAGAATAAATACGACAAAGAAAATATAAATAGATTGAAATGAAATTATCAGTCATAACTTTCTTCAATGATTTATTCTGATTGCTTTCCGTTCATATTGCTTAGCTTCTTCTCCTGTAAAATTTGATTATTATTCAAGTCAAAGATGTGACTAAGTTACAACTGTTAATTAGAGAACTGGGACAATCTCTAAACTTTAGCCTTAATAACATTAAGCTTTTCAAGCAAATTCTCTATCTTTTTCCAAGACAGTTCTTTATCATAATTGTTAATTATTCATTTCTAACTAATCCAACATTTGGAATACTTTTTTTAAAGCCGTTATAACATTAGCAAATTCAAAATTTTCGCTATCAAATCTAAAAAAATTACTTTGCAAGTAATTTTAGTGATTTTAGGAATGAACGATTCGCTCATCTTTTTTGTGTTAGCGACTTTGCTGGCATTAGTATGTGGAACTGATTGGTATAAAATGAGTTTTATGGGAGACGAAGAACTTAGAGCAGAGAGTCCTGCAGATGCATTCTTCCGAGGGTGTTGCATGAAGGAATCTGTTAATGATTTTTGTACAAATAAAATGTGCAGTTTGAGTAGAATCGCTGGTATGACACATTGGACGGTAATTTTTATTGCAATCTTCAAATCTGTTAATTTTAATTTTTTTTTTTTTACCAACTATAATCACTAATTAAATTTGTCTGCTATTACTACTACTGAAAATTAATTTTTGCAAGCCTGTAATTATTACTAATTAAATTTACTGCTACTACTGCTAATAGATATCAAAGTTGGATTTCATTGCTATTATTGATAGACTGGAATTGTTACTAATGATAACAGATGAACTTCTCATCTTCAATGAATAGGCAAAATTAACTTTCACTCTTTGCACTTAAATCAATCCGCAAGTTAAGTTGCCATTATTTAGAAATGCTAAAATTAAGTCTGAACAGAAAATTTACAAAAGTTGCTCTCAAAATTTAATTTGCTATTTTTGAAGAAATAATTTGTAAAAGTTTTGTTTTCTTTTTTAAACTGAATTTGCTTGTTATTTTATAACTTCATTCTTCGGTTACAGTTTATGCTAAGTATCAAACAATGCAAACCGCAACTGAAGAAAATTTTCAAATGTGCTTCCAATTACAAAAATCAGACTCCTTGCTGTGCTGAACGGTAATTTATCATTGTACAAACATTGTTCTGCTAATTCAGATTTTCAAATTAAAATTGCTTTTGAGTTTCAAAGTTTCTCTTTCGCTTGTTTATATTTTATTAAATTTCTCCTTATTTTACTCATCCACTGTAATAGTATGGAAAATTTCAGTGGTGTACCTGAACAGTGTCTCAATATCTGCAATGGAGAGGAGACATTAAGATTAAGACAGATAGACACTTCGTGCGGGAGTTTTTCCAACACAATTATTAAATGTTTCAAAGACAATTTTCTTTCTTCGGGACCGATTTCTGGTGTTTTAGCTGTTGCCTAATTTTAATTTCAACAACGAATTTGAATGAAATTGATAATGTCTCTTATGATGGCAGAAATTATTTCCATGCTATTAGTTTATATTTCAGATTTTTTAACATCTATGTCATTAGTAGTTTCAAATTTATTTTTTTTCAAAAAGCAAAATACAACTGGATAAGTATTAAATACGAAATGAATAATTTAAAATTTTATATTTTGTTTCCAATTTGAAATTATATATTTGTTTCCAAACACGAAAGTTCATCCTTTCTATACTATATTTTCTTTTTTTGTCATTTTTGGTGTAATATAAGATTAAAATTTTGCTTTCGTTGCATTGTTGGCAGTTATTTTCATACATTTATATAATGCAAAAATAAATTTAAGAAAATTCAATAAGAAATAAAAATATTTCATTTTCTTACAAGATTTTACAAAAAAGAATGTCAAGTCTTTTCTTTCTTTTCCATCAATTATTTTTAATTTGTAAATATTTAGGCTCTTATTTTGAATTTTGTGTAGACAACAAATTTAGTTAGAAAAAGATGAAGAAGCTAAAAAAAATAAATTATTCTCATAAATCTGACAATCAATCCTTCATCATCAGCAACATTTTATGCTTTATGAATTTTAAAGAGCATTTTTGAATTACAAATTAATGCCACGTATATTTTTCTTATTATGCTATAAATAGCATGGGGGCTGTGATCCGTTCCAATAACAAAAGTAACTTCAAGGAAAAATTTCACTTTATTTTAGTTTGTATCTTTAATTAAATCTTAATTATTATTATTTTAACATCAAAACAGTTATCATGAAGTTATTATAAAAATATTTCATATCATATAATATAAATGGCAAAATGAAATAAAACGTTTTAATCAAAATTATTATAACTATAAACGTAATTACTGTTGGTGTTTCAGAACAGAAATAATCATTATTATGTAATCTTAGGCAAAAGAATTATTTCAATAGTGGAATGAAAGCAAAAAAAGCTTTTACAAAATATTCCTAAATAAACTTAATCATAACACAAGTATAAGCATTCTATAAAATTTAAATTTATTCAGTATTGTAATCCGCAAACACTTGTAGCTTCCAAATTATAACTTCCTTCATTTATTTTGTGATCAATGAAAAAAAAAAAAAAAAATCAGAAAATTGCTTTGTCCTGCTTTGTGGTCAGCATTTTAACCACTTCCCCTAAAAAGAAGAATTTAAAGTTTTTTTATTTTTTAAAAGAAATTTAAAAAATTTTTAAGGATATAATATTTTTAATTGCTTTTGTAACAAATAAGCACAATCAAACACGGAAGCAATCATTAATTAGTTGAAATTCATCATTGAGAAACTTTTAGGAAATGGTGTGGTACCAAGCATGCACTGTCTCATTAACACTTCTTTTAATTGCTTCATTGGAAATGACATTAGCAGGTGATGCAAATGAAAGATTCATGAACTGCTGTAATCAGAAGAAAGACATCAACCATTGGTGTAAAATGAAGCTATGCACATTCAATGCAACTTCTGAACAGGTAGCTATGGTTAGAAAAGATTTTTATGGTAGTTATAAATACTTAAGAAAACTAAAGAATAAATAATAACTTTGCGATCTTTTTTATGGCAATAAAAAAGTTTTCCTAAATTAAATTCAGATTGTCATGGCTTTTCAGATATTTTCTATCATTTTAGTGAATAATTTAATTATAAAATAGTATTTTTTATTTTTGGAACTGAAACGAAATATGTTTTAACTTTTAGCATCTTAATGGTAGTATTTAAGTAATCAGTTCTGTCACAGTGTCCGAATTTATTTAATTAAGGCATTAGCATTAATTAAGATTTAATTAGGAATATTTTTTCTTTCCTATCGTGAAGTTTCAAATAATGAAAGAATATAAAATTCAAATAAAAAAAATAAACAACTGAAACATCAGTGAAATTTCCTAATTTTTCCTGCGTTTTAAGAGAAATTTGAAAACTTAATAATGCATTATAATAGTTAACTTCAGGTCTTAGATACTTATCCTTTTTGCACAATATTTGGTAATACAATGGCGGATATATGGCAGTGTGCTGGCGCAGGCTACGATCATACGAAATGTTGTACAAAAAGGTAAGCTACTATAATAAAATTATCTTAACAAAACAAAAAAAGAAGAAATAAATAGAAATTAATTATTTTTTTTTTGCCTATAACTGAACTTTGATTTAGGCAAAAAGAAATTTAAAAATTGGAAATTGAGTTTTACTAGCAATAATATTAACATATTAGTATTTGATAAAAAACAGAATAAAACACATTTGCTTGATAATATTAAAAGAGACAGAAATTCTCCTAATATTATCGAATTTCAAGGCATGTAATTTAAAATATTTTAAAATAATTCCATTGCGGAAATAAAGTGCGTAATGCTATTATTCAGCTGAAAGTAAAATCACTGAATTTTATTTTACTATAGTAACAGATTGTTTAGTTAGGAAAATTTTCATTTTTATTTAATATTTAAACTTATCATTCCATCTTATTTTTTTTCAAAGCGGCATAGTACCTAATTAAAGAACTTTATATTACGAATGATTGAGATGCTAACATTAGTATAATGAACATTAGCGCTTACTCAAAATTTTGATTAATTTTCATCACTCTCTTATTGATTGTGTTTTGAATGAATTATTGAATTTATAATATCAAACTAAACATTGGACAATTCAAACGACAGACTAATCAGTTTATTGACTTGGCTGAAACTTGTTTTTGACTTGACTGAAGTAACAATGTTTGTAGAAATTCTTCGATACACAAAAAAAAAAAAAAATGTTATAACATAAATGTGCAAATTATTGGTGAAATACTATGGCTGGGTATTATGTTATGCATACGTTTGTGCGTGTCTGTCTGTCATCACTTTACTTTATCGTAAATATTAATTTAATTTATTAATACTCGGAACGAATTTTCAGCGGAGTGCCGCCAAATTGTCGAGCCTATTGTAATGGTAAATCAATAAAAAACATTGAAGACCTTAGTTGTATTTATTACACCGATCCGATTCTGGCTTGTTTTAAAAAATATTATGAAAGTAATACTTTTCCTGCAAAACTGAAAAACTGAGTTATTCAGTGGATATTTGCATATTATCAGATAAACTGATAAGAAAACAAAAAATGTTCAAAATGAGTGCTTTGCAAAACCAGAACATATATTGCAAACATAATGATTTTGCCACTAAACTAATAAAAAGTATTTATAGGTGCATTATTTATTATCTTATTCGATAGCAATGATTAGTTAAAGTTAAAATGGAAGTAATATTTCCTTCAATCTTAAAATGCACACATCCTAGAATGAAATGCAATAGTAACAAAAATTTTACCAGTGATATAGTAATGATAAAGATTATTTGTTCCCCACCGATCAGTCTTGATTTAGCAATTATTTATAGTGATAACGATTGCCTGTTTGAATCACTAATCGAACTTTTGTAAAATTGGAGTAAAACCTTATTGCATTGTTTTTTTTTTTTTTTTTCACTATATAAATCCATCGATATCTATGGAAAATAATTTCTGATCTGTTCAGATGGCTGAAACTAGTTAAATATTTTCAAATAATTTTGATAAAGGCAGTGGAGAGTGATAAAGTGGTGACAAAAAATTGCATTAATAAAGAAGAAGGAAAAGATGAATGAAACAAAATGCTTATACATTTCATTCAACGTCGAGGACTGAAATTAATTTAAGTAATCCTTTACATCAGATATTTTTTATAAAGAAAAATGCAAAAACTTTAGAAAGGAGAATCGTAGGAAGTAACAATCTTAAATTAACTAAACTTATTGAATTGGAAATAAAATTTTAAAAGTTCTCGCGAATAATTTTATTTAAATTACCATTGTTCGATATTTTATCATCATTATCACATAGCTTCTTATTCATATTCTTACTGCTATCATCATTCTTATTTTATATCAAAATATTCCGAAACATTTTTCTGGAGTTTGAAAAAGCAGAAACAATAGCAATTTACAGTGAATACCAGTAAATGTAATTCTTATCAGATTAAAATTTGGTTTCCATTCGGAAAGTTTGAATGCTCTGGCAAATATTAATACTTTTTTTTTTTCAAATCTTTTTCTATTTCTAAGCCATTTTGTGATAAATTTGAGCATAATCAAACTTAACCATATCATTAGAAAATAAAGCTGCTAAAACTGACATTTGAAATTTAAAGTAAATTTTGAAAAAATACAAGTTTTATTTGTTTCTTTCAAATAAGTACTAACTGTAGGTACCTTAAATATCAAGTAATCTGACAAGAAAAAAAAAGGCTGTGCAAATAATATCTTACGAATGCAAATGATAAGCAAAAAAATATTGCTATTTATTTATTTTTCCATATGTAAAGGCATTGTTTCTCCAAAGACAATTTAAAAAAAAAAAGAAAAAAAAAACGAATCGCCGAATTGCGATGTTTGGTCTATAATTTATAGCAAATTTTTGTCATCAAATTACAATCATTTATTCATTTGTCATTCGTCTTGTTTTCACTCTTAGAGGAATAAAGCAAAAAAGGGGAGAGAGAAAAAAAGTTTCAAAATTTCGTTTTTTTCTAAAAAAAAAAAAAAAAAAAAACAGTGAAATTAAATTGAAAAGGTATAGTGATTAAATTTATAATTGTAATAGAATGAAACTTAAGTTGGATAAAGAAATGATAAACTTAATTAGTGCTACTGGCACTAAACAAGTATTAGAACATTGCCGCATTAATGGTGTAAAAAGGTTTTATTTTGCATAAGTTCGTTATGATCTTACTGTAAAGCCGTAAAAGGTTCTGGATTTTTGATGTGATCAGTTTTTGATATGTTTCATTGTTTGCTGCCAATATTGCAAACATGTTTGCTTGGAGAACGGTGAGCTGAGTTTTCCACTCCCCTCTCCTCCTCCTCTCTCCTCTCTCTGTCCTCTCCTCTTTCTCCCTCTTCTTTTCCTCTCTCCTCCCTCCTGCCCTCTCCTTCCCTCCTTTTCCTCCTCTGCTCTCTCTCCCTCCCCCTTTCTCTCCTCTTCCATCCAGAAGTTAGCAGAATTTAAAATTTTATGAAAAAAGGAATTTCTTTTTTGAAGATTAATAAAAGAGAAGTACACTTTTCGATCATTTTTATTTTTTAAGAGTTCAAGTTCTGTAGCTGTCCTTTTTACCGATGAGGAAGCGCATTGACGCTGATGAATTAACTCCATATCCGCATCCATCCAAGGTTAAATTCATTTTTGTCTATAGTTAAATTTAATGGGGAGGGAGAAAGAGGAGAGGAGAGAGGAGAGGAGGAGGAGAGGGGAGCAGAAAACTCAGTTCACCGTTCTCCAAGTTTGCAATATTGGCAGCAAACAATAATGAAAAAATGTCAATACTGATGAGATCAAGAATCCAGAATTTTCTATAACATGATGAAAAGCATAACGAACTTATTCTGTAAAGCGGGAACCAGAACAAAAGACATTTGTCGCCTTTGGAAAATTTCGGTTAATCTAGTTGGTGCAAGATTTATAGGTGGAAATCAAAAGGGAACATTAATTTAAAAAAATCACAGTCTCATTGGAAATAAATAAATAATAAAGCCTAGGATGTCAGGTTAATTCACAAAATTCAATTCATATTTGAAAATTCAATAAACAGCGCTAATAATAAAAATGTACTATTGAGGTTAACTTATCCTATTTCAAAGATTTCAAATATATGAATGAACAAATAGCCAATGGTAGACGAAGGCTAGCGAAATAAACAGTTGTTGAATTTCAATTCGCTGCATTATAATGTAAAACTACTAATACAATTGAGTTTTAATCATTAATCAGTGAAAGTAATTTAATTTTAATAAAATTTTTTGCATCAATTCTAAGCTTTCTTCGACTGTTCGACACATTTTTGCTAGAAGTAAATAATCAATATGTTCTGTTCATTTTCGACCAAATAAGCTGTAATTTTTATTTGTATGAATTTGAAAATTAATTTTGAATTTAAAATGTTCTCATTGACGTCCATTAAAGTGCTAAAACACTTTAACAACTATCCAATAATTTTTTAATCTAATAATTCCTTCGAAAGCGTATTAATTCTGCCAAAGTTTTAAATATTTAAATATAAATGCCAGATTTTTTTTTGTTATCACTAAAATTTGTTGCAAGTTATAAATTAATTAGTTCGTTTTATTAACGATGCTTTTAAAATTATTGCGAAGACCAAAAGCTGTTGCATAGATAAAAAGAAATATTCCAATGCTTATTTTTCTTTTTCTTGAAAAAAGCAAATGTTTTCCTGTATCCGGCAGACAGTAGATTCTGTCAATTGTGATTTTTTTAAATGCTACTGATAATTAATAGCAACTAATTCAGTTCAAAATGTTGAATTATGAAATTTCCCAATGTCAATTCTAACTTTTCAGTTTTCTTCGCATTTGTCAAATGAAACACTTACTATAATGCATTGATTAAAAGAATCTGAGTAATTATAACGGCAGAATTAGTTCTAAAATTTAAAAAATTTGAAATCTTCGGCCTATTTTATAGGAATTGAATTTCAATGATAATTTAAATATGAATTTCTATCAAAATAGTTCCAAAGAAGTCGCAAAAATTACTATAATGTCAAGAATTAGTGATCTTTTGCTTATGATAGGTCAAGTATAGCATTTGCGAGGGAGAGAAAGGAGAGAAGGAGGAGGGGAAGAGAAGAGAGGAAACGGAAAGAGAGAAGGGAGAGAGGGGAGGGAAGGGAGAGAAAGGAGAGAGGATAGAGAGGGGAGGAAGGAGAGCGAGGAGAGAATAGAGAGGGAGGAGAGAAAGGAGAGAGGAGAAAGAAAGAGGAGAGGATGGAGAGAGGATAGGATGGAGAGAGGAGAGGATGGAAAGAGGAGAGGAAGGAGAGAGGAGAGGAAGGGGAGAGGGAAGAGGACAGCATCCGATTCCGTAGTTTTTTTGTTCGTTCACACACGCAGTATTCCTTTGCAATTTGATCGTTTGTAACTTTCTTGGGTATGTAGGTTAGTTGCTCACCATCGAGTGAAATTTGCTTAGTAATTACAGGTGTATCTATATTAAGGTGATTACCTTTGTCGAATT